ACCCTCAAACACCTTATGACTCCCTCAAACACCTTCTATCACCCCTCAAACACCTTATATCACCCTCAAACACCTTATGACTCTCAAACACCTTATATCACCCTCAAACACCTTATGACTCCCTCAAACACCTTATATCACTCTCAAACACCTCATATCACTCTCAAACACCTTATATCACCCTCAGTTTGTAGTCGGCCTAACTTGAAAGTATTGACACCTTGTGTGGTGCTCCTCCACCCACCCCTGGAGCCCTGGCACTCCCTGGGACACGCTGGAAAACACTGGCACTCCCTGGGACACGCTGGAAAACACTGGCACTCCCTGGGACACTCTGGCACTAACTGGGACACGCTGGAACACTGGCACCCCTGGTACATGCTGGAACACTGGCACTCCCTGGTACACGCTGGAACACTGGCACTCCTGAGAACACGCTGGAGCACTCTGGCACTCCCTGGTACACGCTGGAGCACTGGCACTCCATGGTGCACCCCTGGTACTCACTGGTACACCCTGGAACACTCTGGCACTCCCTGGGACACGCTGAAACACCCTGCACTCCCTGGTACACTCTGGCACTCCCTGGTACAAGTTGGAACACTCTGACACCCCTGACACGCTGAAACACTCTGGCACTCCCTGGTACACGCTGGAACACTCTGGCACTCCCTGGTACACTCTGGCACTCCCTGGTACACACACTGGAACACTGGCACTCCTGGTACACTCTGGCACTCCCTGGTACACTCTGGCACCCCTGGTACACGCTGGAACACTCTGGCACTCCCTGGAACACGCTGGCACTCCTTGGAACACCCTGGCACTCCGTGGTACACTCTGGCACTCATTGGTACACTCTGGCACTCCATGAACACCTGGCACTCTTGGAACACGCTGGCACTCCTGGTACACTCTGGCACTCCCTGGAACACTCTGGCACTCCCTGGAACACTGGCACTCCCTGGTACACGCTGGTACACTTTGGCACTCCTTGGTACACCCTGGCACTCTTGGAACACTTGGCACTCCTGGAAGACGCTGGCATTCCTTGGAATACGCTGGCACTCCCTGGTACACTCCTGGCACTCCCTGGAACACGCTGGCACCCTGGTGCACTCTGGCACTCCCTGAACTCTGGCACTCCCTGGATCACTCTGGCACCCCTGGAACACGCCACCCCTGGAACACCCTGGCACCCTTGGTACACTCTGGCACTCCCTGGCACACTCTGGCACTCCCTGGAACACTCTGGCACGCCCTGCACTTCCTGGAACACACTGGCACTCCCTGGTATACTGGCACTCCCTGGAAGACTTGGCATTCCCTGGAACACTCTGGCACTCCCTGGAAAACTCTGGCACTCCTGGGAACACTCTGGCACTCCCTTAAACACTCTAGCATTCCCTGGAACACTCTGGCACTCCTGAACACTTGGCATTCCCTTGGAACACGCCTGGCACTCCCTGGTACACTCTGGCACTCCTGGAAAACACTGGCACTCCCAGCACTTGGCACTGCCTGGAACACTCTGGCACTTCCTGGAACACGCTGGCACTCCTTGGTGCACTCTGGCACTCCCTGGAACTCTCTGGCACTCCCTGGATCACTCTGGCACCCCTGGAACACTCTGGCACCCCTGGAACACCCTGGCACTCCCTGGAACACTCTGGCACTCCCTGGTACACTCTGGCACTGCCTGGAACACTCTGGCACTCCCTGGAACACTCTGGCACTCCCTAGAACACACTGGCACCCTTGGTACACTCTGGCACTCCCTGGAACACTCTGGCACACCCTGGCACCCCTGGAACACTCTGGCACGCCCCTGGCACTTCCTGGAACACACTGGCACTCCCTGGTATACTCTGGCACTCCCTGGAAGACTCTGGCATTCCCTGGAACACTCTGGCACTCCCTGGAAAACTCTGGCACTCCCTGGAACACTCTGGCACTCCCTTAAACACTCTAGCATTCTCTGAACACTCTGGCACTCCCTGGAACACTCTGGCATTCCTGGAACACCCTGGCACTCCTGGTACACTCTGGCACTCCCTGGAAAACTCTGGCACTCCTTGGTACACTCTGGCACTGCCTGGAACACTCTGGCACTTCCTGGAACACCCTGGCACTCCTTGGTGCACTCTGGCACTCTGGAACTCTGGCACTCCCTGGATCACTCTGGCACCCCTGAACACCTGGCACCCCTGGAACACCCTGGCACTCCTGGAACACTCTGGCACTCCCTGGATCACTCTGGCACCCCCTGGAACACGCTGGCACCCCTGGAACACCCTGGCACTCATTGGTACACCTGGCACTCCCTGGACTCTGGTACTCCCTGGTACACTCTGGCACTCATTGGTACACTCTGGCACTGCCTGAACACTCTGGCACTCCCTGAACACGCTGGCACTCCCTGAACACCCTGGCACTCCTTGGTGCACTGTGCTCCCTGGAACTCTCTGGCACTCCCTGGATCACTCTGGCACCCCTGAACACGCTGGCACTCCCTGGAACACCCTGGCACTCCTGGTACACTTCACCCCACACTCTGGCACTCCTGGAACACTCTGGCACGCCTGGCACTTCCTGGAAACACACTGGCACTCCCTGGTATACTCTGGCACTCCTGAAGACTCTGGCATTCCCTTGGAACACTCTGGCACTCCCTGGAAAACTCTGGCACTCCAGGAACACTCTGGCACTCCCTAAACACTCTAGCATTCCCTGGAACACTCTGGCACTCCCTGGAACACTCTGGCATTCCCTGGAACACGCTGGCACTCCCTGGTACACTCTGGCACTCCTGGAAAACACTGGCACTCCTTGGTACACTCTGGCACTGCCTGGAACACTCTGGCACTTCCTGAACACGCTGGCACTCCTTGGTGCACTCTGGCACTCCCTGGAACTCTCTGGCACCCCTGGATCACTTGGCACCCCCTGGAACACGCTGGCACTCCCTGGAACACCCTGGCACTCCTGGAACACTCTGGCACTCCCTGGTACACTCTGGCACTGTCTGGAACACTCTGGCACTCCCTGGAACACTCTGGCACTCCCTAGAACACACTGGCACTCCTTGGTACACCTGGCACTCCCTGGAACACTCTGGCACACTCTGGCACTCCCTGGAACACTCTGGCACGCCCTGGCACTTCCTGGAACACACTGGCACCCCTGGTACTCTGGCACTCCCTGGAAGACTCTGGCATTCCTGGAGCACTCTGGCACTCCCTGGAAAAACTCTGGCACTCCTGGTAACACTCTGGCACTCCTTGAACACTCTAGCATTCCTGGAACACTCTGGCACCCTGGAACACTCTGGCATTCCTGGTACACTCTGGCACTCCCCTGAACACTCTGGCACTCCTGCAACACCCTGGCACTCCCTGGAACACACTGGCACTCCTGGAACCCCTGGCACTCCTTGGTACACTCTGGCACTCCTTGGTACACTCTGGCACCCCTGGAACACTTTGGCACCCTGGAACACTCTGGCACTCCCTGGAACACTCTGGCACTCCCTGGTACACGCTGGAACACTCTGGCACTCCCCTGGTACACTCTGGCACTCCCTGGTACACTCTGGCACTCCCTGGAACACTCTGGCACTCCCTGGTACACGCTGGAACACTCTGGCACTCCCCTGGTACACTCTGGCACTCCTGGAACACTCTGCACTCCTTGCACACCCTGCACTCCCTGGAACACGCTGGCACTCCCTGTACACTCTGGCACTCCCTGGAAAACACTGGCACTCCTGGTACACTCTGGCACTCCCTGGAACACTTTGCACTCCCTGGAACACTCTGGCACCCCCTGGATCACTCTGGCACTCCCTGGTACACGCTGGAACACTCTGGCACTCCCCTGGTACACACTGGCACTCCCTGGGACACGCTGGAACACTCTGGCACTCCCTGGGACACTCTTCTATGGCATTTCTATAATGTTTCCCGCACAAATAGGCCATAGTTTAATTGTTGTTATTGTTATTATTTGAATTAATACTATAGTAATAGTTTTAATCTCACTCAAAGATATTTAATACGGCTTTTAATCTCAAAGTCTTTTAATCTCATTCAAAGTCATTTAATCCCGCTTTTAATCTCATTCAAAGTCATTTAAGTCTTGTATTTAATCTCATTCAAAGTCATTTAATTAGTCTTGTATTTAATCTCATTCAAAGTCACTTAATCCCGCTTTTCAACTGGTCCAAAGTTTGTTTAACTTCCTGCTTTAATCCTCATCTGTGTCATTTAATCTACGGAATCATTCAAAGTCATTTAATTAGTCTTGTATTTAATCTCATTCAAAGTCACTTAATCCCGCTTTTAATCTCATTCAAAGTCATTTAATCCCGCTTTTAATCTCATTCAAAGTCATTTAATCCCGCTTTTAATCTCATTCAAAGTCATTTAATCCCGCTTTTAATCTCATTCAAAGTCATTTAAGTCTTGTATTTAATCTCATTCAAAGTCATTTAATAAGTCTTGTATTTAATTTCATTCTCGTTACTGTTTATTTACGTTCGTTTTTTTTGATGACGTAATAAGAGAAAACTTATCTTTTATGGGAAACTGTTTTTTTTTTTTATTGTATAATATTGAAATTACTTCTCTTTATCTTCTTCGCCACTGATCGGCCTGTGTATCTATCTATATATGTATTTATGTATGTATGTATGTATATATATATATGTATGTATGTATCTATCTATCTATTTATTACCAAACAGCGGTAACTACCCATTAAGGTACGATATAGTTGAGTAAATCGGTAATGTTGGCAGCCCTGAATGGTCAACAAATGACTGTCTCCGAAGCTGAAGAATTTGGATTATATTATTGTATTTATCCTTGTATTTATTTTCCGTAAAGTTTTCCTGGTTGTTATTTTTCTATATTACAATATAAATTAATGTTCACCAAAATTTACATTAAAATTTGTATTAAAATTTGTATATACGATTGAGGTTGTATTTATTTTGCTAGGATTCCATATTCGGACAAGGCTTGGCGGGAAGACAAGTTACCTGGAGCAGTGATTGGTCGGTGAGACCAGTGCTCATTGAGACTCAGAGGGGGGAAGTGCTGCCGGTCGTCTCTCTCACCTGACACGCTGTTCTTTAAAGGTATAGTTTGTTTTATTTTCAATTTATTTCAGTGGTTTAATTTGCTATTCGATTTTGTACGAAGTGATTTATTTTAAAAGGAAATCATTTAAACAGACTTAAATAATATTGAAGATACACATTGACGAGTTAATGAACAAGCATAGGTTAATTGGTCGTTAACTATCACATTGACTAGTTACTATAGAGAATACTTTACTATTTTTGGCTTGTACTCTTATTTAAATTAATAAAATATGGTTTAGTTTTGGTCACCGTAAAGACTTCGTTAATATTTATTTGTTCCTCATAAGCCTTTTCATTTCTTTACAGATGATGAATCCAATTGGTTGTGTAGCTGCTGTGCTGAAGACAGTTCGCTGCAACAATGGTCGTCAGCGTGGGTCACCTTATTGGCTGAGGTTAGAAAGTTTGTTTTGAAGTGAATGTCAAGTCTATTTCACTTTAGACTTTGCCACTGGGGTCTAGAGACGGTCGAACGCTTCTAGACGTTGTTGGCAAGTGTACTGGGCATGAACTGGCTGTTACTGTTGGCATGTATTGGCGCTCCTGTTACTGTGGAAAGTACTGGGCATGTACTAGCTATGTTACATTGTTGGCAAGTACTGTAGTGTAGTCACAAAGTAGCTCACACTCGGTGCCGTCAACAGATTGTTGCAACTCGCTAAAAAAAATGCATTAAAGTTTTCTTGACTTACGACATCAACCATAAGCTGTAGAATCTAGTGGGGTCGGGCGTCTGCTAGTTATGAACACCAGACTAAGTAATGACTTTATTACATGTTTATAAACTTGTATTAAGTCGCCCCCTTGCCTGTCTATAAGCTGGACAATGGCATAAACCAATTGGCTTTACTTTGCACAATATGCTGATCATTCACAGTACTGTTGTTATTCATACGTCGTCTGTTTCAATATAGCACTTGTGTATGTCATTTTCCAGTCATGTGGGAACGTTTTGCTTGTTTATGCTTCAGTACAAGATTTAATGAGGTCAGGAAGCTCATTATGCAACTCTTAACACCTGAAGCTCACCATCAGGGCTCAATGTACCTTTATGGTATTAGTGAAGTTTGGACCAATACACGGCCGACTGTTTTAACCATCCCAACCTTTGCATCTCCTTATTGGGAGTATTTCTAACCCCCATCTCAACCAGGGGCAAAGAATGACAAATGAATCGAAGTTTTTCCATACTTTTGGGTGATAACAAACTGTTACTTTCCCCCGGAATTAAAGGTCAAATTAGAGCGTCACCCCAAAATACATAGGATAAACTACTGGGTTGTATTGGCCGAAACTGCCATTTTACCAACTTTAGTTTTGAGAATTTTTTTAATACTTGACCGAGAACATGTCAGTGTTGTCACTCCTCAAACACATGGGAGGTTTACATCCTCTTGTGAACACTAACGCCTCTCATCTTGCCCTCCGAGTGTGTAACATTATCTTAGTCTTGGGTCTGATGTTCCCACACGTAGAAAGCTTTTGGGCTTTTGACTTCATTTGGAATCGGACTGACAATCTTGCTCAGTCTTTCTACAATCTGAATGGACTGTATACCTTGAGACAGTGGGTTTGGTCTGGGGTATACAGTATATTTTATCAAACGGCTTACTGGCTATGATATTCAGCATAGTGTCTGCATTCCTGTTTCTCAGTGTAATTTCATTCCTCCAGTCAGTCACCAGTAGCCCATAATGCTGTGTGTACAGTATTAATGCTTTTAAACTGGCTTGGCATAATAAACATCAGTTCTGTGATCTATAAATACATCCAACAAGGGTCAAGTCTCTTGCCTTTAGTTTAATTTTCCACCATTTATATTTAAAATCCTTCTTCCTCCCAACAAGTATCTTCACCTGGCTGGCTCTAAGGTCCTGTACAGTAACAGGATCCTTCTTAAGTTAGCCAAATAACTGGCATCAACCTTGGCATTATTAACTTTCCTGCATCTATAGTTATCAATTTGTCCAATACGTTGTTCCCAATACAGGTAACTACACCTGTAATCTATATATTTATCTTATACCTAGTGAAGAATGTGGATTACATCTGTTATAAATGGTGGAATTGATTTTTTAATGATCTTTATTAAACTTTACAAGGAACTTTCATGTAGTTGTAAAGAATTGTAAATTGATGCTCTGGGTTGACGGCCTGTTGATGTTTGTAGACAGTCATTGGGTGAGTAACTCATAATTGTAAATGTTAGTTTCTTTAAATTTTAACTTAATTTTGATTAATTTTTCACCATTTTGTTTATTAATGTTGCCGCATGACAAGAAATAGAGAAAATGTTGAATGTTACTTTGCCTTACTCTTACCAACAGCTCTTGAATGTAATAAACATTTATCTAAGATACCTTGCATAATGTTCATCAATAATAAAGTACTATAAAACATTGTGGGAGGAGCAGTTAACCAGTATAATCAGGGGATGACTACTTAATACTTGTAATACTGTACACTGTATCCAAGCCTACATAATAATTGTAATACTGTATTCAAGTTTATCAGTGATCTCGCCAATAGTCAAAGAGCTGCGTTAAAAATAAGGTTGCTTAACTCTGCATTGTTCTCCACTTAAGTTGTGCTGTAATACTTGATTACAGCTTCATTTATTCAGTAAACTAGTTGACAGGTGACCCTTAATATACAAGTTTTATTCCTGGTAATGTGTTCATTAAGTGTAAGTAATTTATATATTATTGGATTTGTTCCTGTGAGGGAGTCTTTATTCATATACAGATAAAAGTGGCATCAATAAGGGATTTATTCATTGTTTGCTTCTGTGTAGTGTAGACATTTGTTGAAACTATCAGGCATATGTACTGTATATTGGGGGATACCCGTAATGTACTGTAGGTATAATATTTAATTTATTCGTACAGACTACAGAGTTGTAACAATTATTCATTCTAGGATGATGACGACTTAAAGATGAAGGATCCAACAAATGACCCGAGAGTTTTCTGGTGAACCGACTCTTACTGCACGGCCCTGCACCAGTCCAGGTTGGGGTACAGTCCAGGGTAACTCATTGTGGTTTCTTCACTAAACTCTCAACAAAGTACAGTACAGTATTTGTAACTTCTGAACTGCCGTGTCTGGTTAACTCTTAAGTGTATATATATATATATATATATATCGATAAAGTATTAGTACAGTACAATATTAGGGATGCACCAATTAATAAGTTAAGATAATATCAATATTTTGTGGAATAATCCGTATTGGTAAACAAAGTATTAGCTGATGCCATTTTGACGTCTGTTTTGGGTGAAGAAATTAATCGGTAAAATTTTTATTACCGGCAAAATACAGTAATTACGGAAACCAGCTTTAGTCTGTTCACTTATTATGGTCATGTCACTCGGCCGCCAATCATTCTCGTAGTTGTGATGGATAACATGGCCGTGTCCTCTGTGCAGGTCTACAGCACTTCATTGTACGGTAATGAATATATTATCAGGCCAGACAAAGTAGCTTTTATTTATCAAGAGAAAAATAATCTAGTAAAGACTGTCGCTGACGAGAAAGATTTTTATATGTTGTAGCATCGTTAAAGCACATTAGATATTTTATTTACCAATATTACTCAAATTAGAACTAAGACCTGGTACACAATTAACCTATAATGAATGACATTCAGTTGGTCGTTGAGGCTGGAGATGCGTTCTTGATAACAAAATTAGTCAATGATAAACAACTCCCTTTAAATACTATATTTTATTAGAATGAGTAAATATAGATTAAATGTTCCCAAAATAAGTCTTAAACATTATCAAGTCTCTATTTGAGTTATAACATTAGTCATTTCTTTTTATTATACCATACAGTAAATATTTAATGTAGACGGTATTCTTCCTGGATGGTTGCAGCTTCCAACAGCCTTTAAACTATTTACCTATAAATAGTTGACCACTTGATTAGTGAGAACGTTAATAATTACTGAGTGTTGTGCCGGGTGGACTTAAACACCACAATAATGATGAAATTTAAAACCCAGATGCTCTTAATATTGCAGCTTCAAGAATTCCGTCAGACTATTACTAAAGTTGATGTATTTATGGACGGGTTCTGTACCACCAGAGTAAATTGCTTTATTTAAATATACTGTGGCTGATATTTTGCTTTGTTTATAGTCTGGCTTTAGTGGGGAGACTAAATAGTGACTTAATTGTTATACCTGCATGATAAAATTGACCTAAATTATAGCATTAACTCTAAATCTGGCGGCAGATTATTGGGAAGTTTTGAATCTAGTTATGTTATTAACGGTGCATCACTAATGTTCTTCAATTACTGTACTAAGTGGATTAATGTGGTACTTCTATAGAGGATAAAACCTTCAGTTTAAGGTCATGTTATAATACTGTATTAGGATAAATTAGTATTAAAATCTTACTTTAAATCTTTTATAGGTAATAACTTGACTTTACTCTTAACTTCTTACTTTAAAAACAATAATTTAATACATAAAATTTAACTCGTTAATGCTGAACTTGGTGAAATAATTCATAAATATAGATGTAAAGTTACCTACATTTTCTATACAGTACTTAAGAAATAATAAATTACTCTCGGCAACTTTCACCTTTAATAAACAATACTGTACTGGGCCCAAGATATTCATTCATTGATTTAAATTTAGTTAAAATTAATTGTTGACAAATTAATAATTTCTAAAGCAAAGTCATTGAAAGTAAACTTTTTAAATATATTAACAAAACTATGAACCAAAGATGCAGGTTTATTGTAGTTATGACTAACTCTTATGGTTAAACTAAACTTGTACAATATACATGCTTAGGTTAAGTTGCTGTACAGTTACTGATCATATTCCCTGAACACTAGGCCAGTATGTTATCAAGGATCATTAGGTGAAAGATTTCAATTTCCAAATTTAGATTTTTGTAAGTAATTTGTACATTTGGTCATTAAGTGTTAAATTGTCTAAAACACTTCAGCACATTGTCATTATTATATTTAAAATAATTTTCTGGTTAAATAAATGTTATTATTAATTTTACATTTTATTTTGTACAGAAATATTATTCTGGACTTTGTGGTTGGTGGTTACCAAGAAGCTGGACTGCCTGCTGCAGCTGCAGTCGTCCTGGACTGCCTGCTGCTGCTGCCGCCGTCCTGGACTGCCTGCTGCTGCTGCCGTCCTGGACTGCCTGCTGCTGCCCTGGACACTGTCTTGTCCTGGACTGCCTGCTGCCGTCCTGGACTGCCTGCCGCTGCTGCTGCCGCCGTCGTCCTGGACTGCCTGCTGCTGCCGCCGCCGTCCTCGTGCCCTGCTACTGCCGCGTCCTGAACTGCCTGCTACTGCTACCGCCGCCCTGGACAGCTGCTGCCTGCCTGCCTGCTACCTGCTACGCCGCGTCCTGACTGCTCTGTTGCTGCTGTCTGCCTGGACCAGCGCTGCCGCCGCTTGACTGTTTGCTGCCGCCGCCTGGACTGACTGCTGCCGCTGCCCTGACTGTTTGCTGCCGCTCCTGACTGATTGCTGCCGCCGCCTTTATTGCTATGCCACCGCCGCTGTCGTCCCTCCTGACTGACTGCTGCTGCCGCCGTCCTGGACTGCCTGCCGCCCTGGACTGCTCGTCGCCGCTGTCTCTGACTACTGCCGCCCTTGACTGCCTGCTGCCGCCCTGACTGACTGCTGCCCGCCGCCCTGACTGACCAGCTGCCGCCGCTGCCGTCATGGACTGCCGCAGCTGCCGTCTCTGGACTGCTGCGCCACTGCCGCCGTCCTCCTGGACTCCCTGCTGCCGCCGCCTCCTGGACTCCCTGCTGCCATTGTCCTCCTGGACTCGCTGCTGCTGCCGCCGCCGCCCTCCTGGACTCCCCTGCTGCCGCCTCCTCCTGACTCCCCTGCTGCCATCGCCCCTCCTGGACTCGGCTGCTGCCGCCGTCGTCCTCCTGGACTCCCTGCTGCCGCCGCCCTCCTGGACTCCCGCTGCTGCCGTCCTCCCGGACTCCTCATGCCGCCGCCGCTGTCCTCCTGACTCCCTGCTGCCGCCGCCGTCCTCCTGACTCCCTGCTGCCGCCGGGCCGTCGCCGCCCCTCCTGGACTCCCTGCTGCTGCCGTCCTCCTGGACTCCCTGCTGCTGCCGCCCTCCTGGACTCCTGCTGCCGCCGGCCCTCCTGGACTCCCTGCTGCTGCCGCCGCCCTCCTGACTCCTGCCGCTGCCCTCCTGGACTCGCTGCTGCCCGCCCTCCTGACTCCCTGCTGCTGCCGCCCTTCTGGACTCCCTGTGCCTGCCGCCGCCCTCCTGACTTCTGCTGCTGCCGCCGCCGGTCCTCCTGGACTCCCTGCTGCTGCCGCCGTCCTCCTGGACTCCCTGCTGCCGCCGCCGTCGTCCTCCTGGACTCCCTGCTGCTGCTGCCGTCGTCGTCCTCCTGGACTCCCTGCTGCTGCCGTCATCGTCCTCCTGGACTCCCTGCTGCTGCTGCCGCCGTCCTCCTGGACTCCCTGCTGCTGCCGCCGCCGTCCTCCTGGACTCCCTGCTGCCGCCGTCGTCCTCCTGGACTCGCTGCTGCCGCCGCCGTCGTCGTCCTGGACTCGCTGCTGCCGCCGCCGTCGTCCTGGACTCCCTGCTGCTGCTGCTGCCGCCGCCGTCGTCCTGGACTCCCTGCTGCTGCTGCCGCCGCCGCCGTCGTCCTGGACTGCCTGCTGCTGCTGCTGTTGTCCTGGACACTGTCATGGACTGGCCACTGCTGCCCTTTACTGCTCTGTTAAAGAAAAATTTGTAATACCATTAAGTTTCCATTAATAAATGTTTAAATGTCATTACCAGTATTCATTAACCTTTTCTTTACAACTTGTACAGAAAAGTTCTTCACATTTTGAAGCAAAATACTTTCATAAAGCATCTGAAAAATTATATATACAAATACAGGGAGTTCTGCTATAACGCGTGTTTTGATAACGCGAATTTGCTCTAACGCGATTTATGAATTCGGAACAATATTTGTATAACGCGAACGCTTGTTTGCTATAACGCGATTTTTGCTTACTATTTCTCCAATTTTGTGGTATTAACTGTGAATATGGTAAAGAAGAATATCTCCAAAAAGCGCTCTGATGATAGAATTCCAGGTGATTATCGTAAAAGAAAGGATACAACACTTGAAGAGAAGCTCAATGTTATCAACCTCAAAATCACCCTTCTCCCCCATCAAGTTACATTCATATTTTTTCAAGGTAAAGTGTTAAATTTACTGTATGATTTCATTATTAGATATGAATGTAACATTTATTTAGACTGTGCTATCCTTTGTGTTAGGCTAAATACTAAATTTTTTCGATTTCGAGTAATCTGCACCTAACCCTATTTTCTCCATAAGCCCTGTTATTTCTATTACGCGATTTTCTATAACACGATATTTTACAAGAACACAATTATCGCGTTATAGCAGAACTACCTGTACTGTATAATAAACAAATGAAATACAAATATAATATACAAATGAAACAAATATAATATACAAATGAAAAACAAATACAATAAACTTAGAATATTTTCAACAATGAATTTTTGGACTTATAATATTTTTAACAAAGAATTTTTGGAATTAAATTTTTTAAACGATGAATTTTTGGACTTAGAAATATTACTGTTAAGCACATCTAGATAAATAAAAAATATTTGAAATAATCAGGTTTAATACATCAAAATAATTCGGACTTCGGTTTAATTCGTATGTTTTCAAAAAATGAATTAAACGATTTGAATTTGGAATGAATTTGAAATAACCGAGTGGTTCGAAAGTTGCCTTGGCTGCCACATACAATATTCTATTTATAATTATTGTACAAATATAAATATTTATAAAATATACTTAAAATAATAAAGTAAATAATACCGTAATAAATAAATAATGTGAGATCGTAAAATGTAGATGCTACTCCGAAGGTGTCATGGCCACACTGGTAAATGAAATAAAAACCCTCATTGGAGAAATAAAAGCCAAAATTTTGGAGCTGGTGTACTAAGACCCACTTCAGCCAACTAACAACAAAACAAGGGAGAAACACATAGAACAAAGGAATCACCAGTCTCCTGAGTTAGGTAGGGTGGGGATTAATCTTCTTGATGAGAGCAGTGGACCCCAGACCTGATCCTCAATACTATTACACTTTCTGATTATCATCTATATATTATCAGTTCACCTCACAATGTACAGTAAGTCTTACATTTATTTATTATTGTATTATTTACTTTATTATTACTGTTTGTACACTTAAAAAATATTTGTTTGCACAGTAATTACAAATAGAGTTTTTTATGTGGCAGTCAAGGCATGGTAACTGAGTATGTTTGTTGGTTGGAATAATGAGGAACAATCTGAACAAACTGAACAGAAAATGAATGAATAATTGAACAAAAAAATGAGAAATTGTCGAATAATATCAAAATAATCGGAACGCCGTTAATTTGTATTTTCAGTAATTCTGTGGACCACAAACTGTACTATATCTTCATTGACTCGACAAAAAGAGACTCTGGGTCACTTGAATTACTGAAAATACGAATTAACTGAGTTCCGATTATTTTGATATTATTCGACAATTTCTCATTTTTTGTGTTCAATTATTCTTTCGTTTTCTGTTCAGTTTGTTCAGATTGTTCCTCATTATTCCAAGCAACAAACGTACTCAGTTACTATAGTAGCACGAACATTTCTTTACAACCTGTCCTCATGTCATTCTTTGCCTACCTCTAACTCCTCACAATCATTCGTGTATCTCTTGACCCAGTTAGTTTACTCCTTTCTCTCCTGAACCATCTCAGTTTAGCCTCCAGGTACTGTACTTCTCTCTGTTGCCAACCATCTTCCACGTCTCACACAATCTTCTTTTCTCTTTTTCTCTCTCTCTCTCCACTTCATCATTCCCACCATCAACCACACTCAACGGAACATCTTTTATTTTGGCCCAGCATCTTGGTACACTGCCCCTCACTGGCTGTTTCCTAGCCTCTCAACTCACAAGAAAATGTTTCCTTTGCATTCAGTTCTGTCACAATTCCCACACTCTCCTTCTTGGAACATCCACCTTCTTCCTCTCCCTCCACCTCTAAGTAACATGTCTCACACACACACACACACAAGCATCCTTAACAAGCAACTTGTTCTAATTTCCTGACAAAAATATAGCCAATCTGGGTTTTGTGTCACCTGCCATAGGCCTACATGGTCAGCCTACTTGCCCTATTCTTAAACACATGTTACATACCATCCCCAAATTCAAGTGTTCTTTCACCTTCAGTATTCCTTATTCCAAAGCCTTTCCCACCATGCACACCTTCATAACCCAGCACGACAAATTTAGAATATAAAAATGGTTTGTTTTAACGGAGATCACTACATTATAAACTGTATCTCCTAAAACAACATTAACTGGCATGACTATAACAGAATAATTGCTGCATAAGTCAGTCAACAGATTTTACGGCAACATTAAATGACACCGAACTAATGAGATTGAATTCCTTAATAAACAATAAAATGTATTTATTGTTTAGTTTAAAATAAATGGTAAAGATATGTAAAGAACTGGAATGGTTCAACAGTCTCACTAAATCATATTAATTCTAAAGTCCTTGAAAACACAAAATGAAATTGAATACTGTACTGTATAATTTTTTCTTTAATTTCAAATCATATTGTGATGGCATTCTAAGTCCACGTAAATTTAAAAGATAAATTTAGCCAAATTATACCTGGATAAAAAGTGATAAATAAAGGTGTTCTGGTTTATAATTAAAAGAAGACAAATTGTCAATCTTCCAGAGCCACAGCTAAACACCTCAGTTTAATATTGACCTCCACCTCACACTGGCTCACACTACAACAGAGTAACACCTGTGATGAAACAACATTATCAGGGAAAAGCTCAAAATATTTACATACACTAGACCACTTTAGATAGATAGATATATATTTATTCAGTAAACTTATCATATAAGTTTACAATTGGTTCAACCTGCATACAGTATAGCCAATACAGTACAGGTATACAGTTCAGCAGGTATATAGACAATGTAGGTATACAGTTCAGCATGTACTGTATATAGACAAGTATACAGTACAGTATATGGAAAATACTGTACAGGTACACAGTAAATGATGCTGCATTATACAACACATGAATCTTTACTACAGAACAGAACTATTTGTGTCAGACCTCAGGTTAGCTTCTATATATAACCTTGGATTTAGAGACAAACAGTAGAGCACGTGTGTGAGGCTACAGTCTGGGTACAGTTGGGTCATGTGATGCCAGGACAAATAAGGAAGCTACAGGTACCTTCTTTATCACTTAGTCACTGGTTAAGGATCATCCCTCCCTACCATCCCTACAGCTAACTTCTGCAGGTAATGACTACCAACCCTATAGCTAACTTCTGCAGGTGATGACTACCATCCCTACAGCTAACTTCTGCAGGTGATGACTACCATCCCTAAAGCTAACTTCTGCAGGTGATGGCTGCCATCCCTAAAGCTAACTTCTGCAGGTGATGACTACCATCCCCACAGCTAACTTCTGCAGGTGATGGCTGCCATCTCTAAAGCTAACTTCTGCAGGTGAGGGCTGCCATTTGAGAGTTATGAATGTAATCCATCCTCATTTACTCAGTGAGGATTATAGAGGAACAGTCCTTAGTGTTCCTGACCTGCATCTGATAATGGCTGAACCACATCATCAAGGTCAAAAGTAAGTAATAAAAAAAATGGCTTTGTTATAAACCATCAAGTGCCATTGAGGACATCTGTGTTGTGACCTTCTGAATACTGCCAAGTTGAACCTTTTAAGGAAGGTCTTCACTCCCTGCAGTAGTTTGTAACAGGTGGGTCAGACCTGCACAGTACCAGACTCACACCACCGACTTAACATCAAAATATTTATCATTGTCACCTCAGAGATCCACTACATTCTCACACAATAATAATTCTTGGCTTTTCCACAATAAAGGCCAGGAGGAAGATGGAGTGGCAAGAGAAGGCCGCCTTATAGTTGTGTGTGATCAAGACTCATTCATCATTAGCATAAATGTTGAAGATCACTATGGCTGAGTCAGCATTAAATTATGATTCACATTGGTATAAGTTAACGTAGCGACATCATAACTACCGGTAATGAGCCGCTTGGGCAGTTGGTCTGCTAATACTGTACAGTATGGGAGGAAACTGTAGTTATTGTACCTGCAGAAAACCTGCCATGTTTGGTAGTGAGGGTAACATCTGTCCCAGGCTGGGGAATGAACCCAGGACACAGTGATGCACCACTAAAGATATACAACTGATATATCTGAGAGACAATCACCAGTGTTTTGGTATAAAAACAATAAACAATATTTTCTTGGTTCTACAGTACAGTAAATCACTAAAGTGGTCTAGTTGCTGAATATATTGGACATTTTCCTGGAAATATTTGTATTCCAGGTATTAATCACAGGCATTGTCAACTGTCTATCATGGTTAGTACAGTAGTTCTGTCTACAGTACATATAAGACAGATATACTGTAGACAGATGGACAGAAAGATGTAGAGAGATATACCATATTTCCCACCATATAAGACATATTTTTAACCTAACAAATGTCTCTATAATTCACCCTATATCATATATAATTGTAGTTAAAAAAACACACAATAAACTTTTATTATGTCGGCAGGAGTCAGCCCATGAGGGGGGAGCACATCCCTGTCTCCCACATCTTTAGTGAAACAATTGTCAAATGGCAAAGCAGAATTTTTTCATTCCTTTTATTTATTATTATTTTTATTCATTCCTCACTTGGCGAGGGTCAACTTCCTTGCTGTACAGTTTATGGAACACATGCAATTTTTCTCATTTAAATATTTGTTCCTTTTATGAAAGTTTGGTTTTAGGTGAACTTTCTTGAGACTATAAACCTTTCATGCTATATCTGTAGTTGCCTTTAATATGGTGAAATACAGTACAGTAGTATAGATAGATAGCCTGAAACTTAGATAGAAAGATATAGAACAAAATCATCATCACCACCCAAATCCTTACAGCCATTTCCACCATCTCTTGCCAGTCTGTCTTGTCGGGTTCTAAGATCATTTCTTACAATCTCTCCCCATGTCATTCTTGGCCACCTACCACTGGCTCTCCTCCTCACCACATTTTAGAGTCATGCACCACTTAACCCAGCTGGTCTCATCCATTCTCCCCCACACTCCCGATCTCGGTCCTACTTATCGTAAATCTTGGCCCGTCTCCCAATACCGGCCGTCCTCTTAGTTCTGAGCGGTGATTCTTATCTTTCGCGTCACAGTACACATCCACCTCACCATTCTCATTTTCAGCTCACTCAAGACTGCATATGTCTCATCCTCTTCAACTACCCATGATTCACGGATATATAACACCACCTTCTCACACCAGTTGTATGCTAATCTTCCTTTCATGTGATGGGAAAGTCTCTTGCTGACAATAAAGATAACAGTTTCCCAATCTTCCCTCCAACCATTTCTGACTCTTGAAATAGACAGCACCCTCTCCAGCACTGATCATGTCACCCAGGCAGCAAAACTCATCATGACTGCTTGTAGCCTTCGTGATCCTCTCAGCACTAGTCAGCCATCACCCAGGCAGCAGAACTCATCCATGACTCACAACACACAGCAGCCTTCAGCACCCTCTCCTTTACTGATCATGTCACCCAGGCAGCAGAACTCATCCACAGTCCAGGGATAATTTTCGAGTGTTGAGTTTCTTCAGTCTTGCTGTGGATACATATTTCACCTGCACATATACAACACTTACTGTACAGTCAGCAACATCCAGCAGTCTGCCATCCACTCCACTGTATCTCTCATGTACCCACCTTCCTCACTCACTGTGCCTCTTGTGTACAGCATTGCCCACCTTCCTCACTCACTGTGCCTCTTTGTACCCACATTCTGAAACTTGTATACATAAAGACAGTCTGACAGATGATATAGATACCAAACGACAAGACTGACTGACATACAGAGTAATGAAAAGATTGATAAAAAAGATATAGAGATAAAGATACATAAGGATAGACAGTTAGACATACCACTAGAAAAACACAGACAGACAGACATAAAGACATACCTGTAACAGCAGTGTTTCCAGGATCAGTTGTTAATTTCTCAAGGGGTTTAGTCATAACTCATCTGTAACAAACAAACAAAAACATTTAATATATACAACGCAGTTTAAATATGTCCATAAATTAATAGTCATTCTTACAGAAGTTGTTTGTTTTATGCAAGTTTTGGTTAATGTGAAGACTTTTCTTGGGACTGTAAACCTTCCATGCTTGACAAGCTCTGTCACTTTGGCCTAATATTCCCAGCTAAATTGGTGTTACATTAATACAGTAGTTTAGACAGATAGACAGGTAGATATACAATAGATCCCGGATTATCCAGCACCTACAGGGATTCAGGCAGGAGCCAGATTAACAGGTTTCACCCATTACTGTAGATGTAAACTACCCTCATGAGATCACCAACAGATCCTACAGTACACAGTGCTACAGGCTGACCTAGCTAATTTATGTCTCATAAAAACAGAATTCTTTAACTCTTAAATTCAACTCTATATAAATGATGTGGCTCATAAATAAAGAAAAATATAACATAAAACTTCACAAAGGTAATAATTTACATACTGATTGAGATCTGTTCACAGTTTAATAATTCAAGAAATTGAGTGTTAGTGTGACCTTCTGAATAATTAAAGATATTTAGAGAATAATTCAAAAGTCCCAATTACACTGTGGCTGCAAATTTTAAGTCACCTTTATATACATTCTCTAAATAATAAATAGATACTGACAGATATTGGTAAGCCATATGTGGATAGACATATTGACAGACTGACAAATACTTATTGATAAATATTTGGACAAATATAGATAAATCCTGACTGATATATATGTATTGATAGATAGATATTGGTAGATAAATGGATAGATAAATAGATAGATATACTGAAGACAGACACACAAACATATATAAGCAGTTAGAATAATTAGTAGTTCCCAACCTCTTCTGTTCATAGCGGCCCCCATACAAGATGTGAGTAACTACTGTTGCATATTAATTATTACCGCAAGACAGTAATGAGTAGGATGACACATAAACAAACATTATATGTTGGGCTATAAGTCATGTCATGTTTATTGGGTGTGTCTGCTTACGTATACAGTGTGTAGTGTGTTGAGGTGGTGGAGATAGAGGCCCAGGAGGTTGGGGTATGTAAGGGAGCTTGTTTTATGTGTAATCACCTGACCAGCCCTCGCCAACCAGCGAGGGTTGGAGCCAGCGACCGAGCTGGCACTGTAGTTATCCATATCATAGAGGAAGCAACACCTAACACTGGTTTCTCTCTAGACTTTCAACACGCATAAGTTTAACTGGTACTTGTGTGTACACCCAGGTAGACTGTGTCCACTGCATCGTTTATAGTTGTGACAACATAAATATAGCAAATTAAGTACAGTACTCATTGTAGTGTTAGATTAGACTAATTACACCAAACTATGATTGTTATGTAAATATATGGATTAAACATTTATGTATGATTGCCTATATATGATTTATCTGAAATACTAAAATGAATTGTATTCAACAGGTTTGACCGAATTATAAGTTAGAGTTTAGCATTGAAAGTCTGATTAACCTTTAAGCGCTCAGAAAGCGTTTACATTAATACAGCATAAAATTATGTTTCATTGAACAATACAGAGGAAACAGTTTCTATGATGTGCATTCAATTAGACAGAATATAATATCCTCTGCTATTTTTGTGAAATTTGGTTCAAATTTAGTAAAAAGCTGCTACAACCTTCTCATTTTTATAGTTGTTAGTGAGGTTTTAAAATTTTGATGCAGTACAGTACAGTACAGTACAGTACAGTACTTGCTGACCCTGGCTTAAACTCTGGTAGGAGGGTGAAGCATTGTTTAAGTTTGTTATGAGCTCACATGGTTCAAATTACCCCCATGGTCAACAGGCTGGGAACCACTGACTCTTAAATATATAGAAGATATAAAAAACAGACAGACAGATGTTAGCTGCAGCAGCACAGTTGCAACAATTTGTCTTAAGAGTTTGACAGACACAAAAAGATTTTCTGTATAGGCCCGAGAGAGCTGTTCTATAGTTTACCTTGCCGCCATAGGTGGTGGTGGTGATAGTGGTGGGTGGGAGCTATTGTTCCATGCTCCAGTTATCATTTTCATCTGTTATGGATCAGTTCAATTTCCCAAAGTTTTTGTTATAACACCTACTCCTGTAACAAACAAACTCATATATTTACTATAAACAACTTGGTTAGAGTTGGGTTAGGTTTTTTAGTTTTTGAGGGTTTAAGATTGTTTAACCTCCCCTTTTCTCCAATATCTCAACTACTGGTCATTTATAACAACAATTAAGGTCACTGTTAACACGATTTATTAACACGATAATAACAAATTTTCAATGTTCACAGTTGTCTGGTAGCAGCATACATATATTGACAGTAAATAATGCATAAATACATTTTAATAAAAACAACTACAGTATAAATTTTTATTAAATCAGTCAGTATTAATACAGTTTGGGCCAATATACAGTCGAGAACTTTACATTTCATTATTATTTATAACACTATTTCAACCGGGACAAAAAGACTAATAACTTCAGAAATTAATTATAAGTTTTTCTATACCTTTGGAAATAACTATAGCAGGAAATTTCCCCAGGGGACTAAAGGTCAAATTAGATTAAACACAGAATAATATAATTTCTCCAAACTATATGCTTGGTCATATTGGCTTAAACTGGTAATTTTTACCCAAATAAGTAGTCATATAACTTCCAGTTACCGCTGGACAACTCTAGTACCCAAACAAATCAAAACCATCAAGAACATGTCAAGTCGTGCCCAATTTGTAAAGAGACAGTTCGTGCCACATATATACAGTACAGTATAGTATCACGAATATACTTTATATAGTAAGCAGTATATAAGTGGAGCCTTATTATTATTTTTCAGGTTAAAAGTTTGAATTAGGCCTATTCTTGGAGTACCGGTATAAGTTGACCTTATTATTTTCGGGATTAAAGTTTGAATTAGGCTATGGCAGATACCAGTATAAGTCGACCTTATTATTTTCAGGTTAAAGTTTGAATTAGGCCTATTCTTGGAGTACCGGTATAAGTTGACCTTATTATTTTCAGGTTAAAGTTTGAATTAGGCCTATTCTTGGAGTACCGGTATAAGTTGACCTTATTATTTTCAGGTTAAAGTTTGAATTAGGCCTATTCTTGGCATATAAGTCGACAGCAGACTTCCAAGCTACAGTATAAATGGGTTTCAAAAGACTCAAAATAATGAGATCTAAATGATTCAGTAGTTTAAAACTTTGGTGCGCTATATCAGAGAGTACAATACCTCTGATGCTTGTTCTTTATAACTTTACCAGACAATTGGCAGTGCTGGCACTCAACAGAAGTAGGGAAAACACCGTGATTATGAAGAAATTGGATAGCTTGATCATCTTTCTCGTAAAACTCAGAAATTAACTTAAAATAATCATAGGAGTATGATTCACAAACAACCTCTACCACAGCCATTGGTACACTGGTCATTTAAATTTAAATCCTTCAAATCCGTACCTTGGATCCTCCTTTTGAAAAAAAAAATTTTGATTGGTTGAAAAAAATTCGCGTGATGAGATCGATACATCATTGGTCACGACTGGAAGACGTCGCGCATGCATGATGTAAACACGCTCATAATTAGCTCGCTTTCACGACGATAACGTCACCTCACACAGACGAAGACTATAAACTATGTTAAATCAATTAAATTCAATCGTTCACTATTATCCATTTCGGCCTGATATACATGGGGTTCAAATACTCAGAATAGCCACATGTAAATGCTTAAATAGTTTATAACTTTGGGGCACGATATATCCTAAAGTGAAATAATACCAGTTAACTATTTTGGGTACGACCTGTCTTGGGTATGACCTGTTGTAGTGGATTCCACCTCTACAAACGCCGTTTGTTGCCGAGTAGCCGACACTTTTCGAATTCCCCAGCCTGCACCTCCAGCGCCGCCTGATGGAGGGGGGGTCAACTATCAACCCACGCCTACCTCACCTAACCCCGCGGTGACCACCCTCTCTCATTCTACCTACGGCCACCAGCGAGCAACACCTCCTCCTCCTCCGCTCCCGCCGGCGACCTTGGCGTCCCTCAAGCTGCGTGCCCTCCTCTGGGCACCCTCACCACCCAGCTCTCTCTACTCAACGCTTGTAACCACGCTGCCACTTCCCAGCACCAAGCTGCATTGTACATCCAACACAATATGTATTCAGAGAGCACATTGTGAGTTTCCTTTTTCCAACCCATCCTGAGTGTGAACCATTCTTATAACCCTACACTGTCTTGAGTACGACTTGTCTTGGGTACCAGCTGTCTTGGGTACGAGCTGTCTTGGGTACCAGCTGTCTTGGGTACGAGCTGTCTTGGGTACGACTTGTCTTGGGTACCAGCTGTCTTGGATACCAGCAGTCTTGGGTACCAGCTGTCTTGGGTACGAGTTAACCCTAACCCATATAAGCCCTGCCCACATGTTCAACACTTTCCTTGTCCAAGATAATTATGGTCACAACAATCATAAGACTCATCTCCACCATAATAATATACACATTAATCCTAACTATACACATTAATACAACTATACACATTAATACACAACCATTAACCTCACAACTCACCAGGTGTTGTTTACTGGGGACCGAGGGACAGTGTTGCCAACGCTTCCGTCTGTCAGTATAAAAGAGTTTTTTTACCTTATATTTATTGTTTAATCACTGTTAAAATTAAAAAGTTATTCTATAATATTATTAATTATCTTAAAGTGTGTGTTTTGTTACTATGTGTTGTTTGTTAATTATGATTTAGTAATTTTATATAAGATCTCCCTCAATACAATATATCATTTAAGAAAAATTATATATAACTTTTAGTTGATTATTGATGACAATAATGTTTTTAACCACATTTTATTATATTAAAGTTTATTATATGATTATTGACGATAATAATGTGTTTTAACTATATTTTACGATATTGAAATTTATTATATGATT